CATTCAGAAGGAGACCAAGTGAAGTGAAAGCCATCAATAATGTATTGATTCTATCAGAAAAAAAAAAAATATCTAAAAGGAATAAAATATTTGACAGAGAATTTAGATAAAGGCGTCACTTGTTTGTTATACATCCATGAATAAATGCAATTTAATGTTGCCAAAAAAATATCTGGGTCTATTTTGAGTAAAAACCAGAGAACGGTTTGAAATCTTCGGCCCACAGAGCTAGACTAAAATAACTGACATGGGTTTGACTAAAGCCAAGCCTACACAAAAACATTCAAGTTATGGGTAAGATGAACTCACAAATATTAAATTTCTTAAAAGTCAAACGAATATACCTATTTTATTACTAATTAATGGTATTGGACTTTCATCTAGTAAAAGATTAAATTGAGATGATATTAAGTCTGTTGATGCGTGATTTTTACGCCAACTAAATGCACGTGTAAAATATTGAGTTGATTCAGAGAACACACGCGAATGGGGATATGAGAATGGATAAAAGATGGGGAACGATATTTAAAGTGGTTCAGATGCTTAAACAAGCGACTCCTACGTCCATTGATATTGTATTAATATACTGAGGTCAGGTCGCGTTTAGCGAGCTGATTTACAAGTGATTACAAAGAGAAAATAGGTATGTTATTACAGAAAGAAATTAGTTAATCCTACAAACGGGAGAGGAACCCCCTAGTTATAGTGGGATGGATTGAGGTAATGATTACTAAATCAGGGAGTATGTCAGATTTCCGTCCAAATCCTTCCTTGCGCCCCGTTATTCACCTGCCCGAATGATTTACTCGATTCTTATAGGGATTGGACACACTGGCGAACCCAGGATTTTTGCCGGGGGGGGCCTCCGCAGTTCCGTCATTGTTTGTCAAACAACTAATGAAAACTTTAAAAAAATTATCAAACCTTAAGCAAAGGATATAATACAATAAAGTAATGCAATAACACAATACTTTACTACATGAATAAATCTATGAGAAGCAAAACATTGAGCAAATTATGTTGAAAATAACATCCAATTCACGAGAAAACGCAAGAAAATTTTTACGTAGAAAAACATTTTCAATTAAAGACAGCAAAAGACCACGGAAATCTAATGATCCATTTAAATCCAATATAATTAAAAGAGTTCACAACAATCACAATTCAAAAAAATGTTCTACACAAATTTCTTATTTTTCCTTTTTTTTTTTTTCGCTCTCAAAAATTATAATATAAATTTTCATAACTTTGATCAGGCATAGCCTAAGCTACAATCGAAACTTAAATTAAGTCAACGTTACCTTGACTTTTAATATGAATTAATAAAAAAAAAAAGAAATTTTCTTAGTATAAACATAGATAATAACTCAAACTTCTTAAATAATTTTGAATTTTATGTAACGGACCGTACCCTGACTCTGATACCAGTCCAGTCACTTCACGCAAGTGTCCTTCGTGACAGATATTTTCACGAAGGACGCTTGCGTGAAGTGGCCGGACTGGTATCAGAGTCAGGGTACGGTCCGTTACATAAAAAGGAGCTAGTCAAACGATGACGTTTGAAATGTAGGAAAGTGATGGGTGAAGAATGAAGAATAATATTCAGTAAAATATAGTTAAAGTCTAATTTAGGAAAGCATGAATATTCTTAAACAAAAAAACAAAACAAACTCACAAAATACATGCCTTTTTCCATCAAATTAGAATAAAAAACTTCAAAAAATAAGTATGATTCAACCCTAAAATAAATTAAAATGAAATGAGTAATACACATACCTAAAACTGATAAAACAGAAAACGAAGCTAATTGTGACACCTTGATCAGTGAAAGCTTCAACAATTTCAGTCTTCAAAAGTTTTAAGAACGAATAACATAGAGAAAGTAAAAGAGAGAATGAGAGAATAAATAATTTTAAGGATAAAATCATAAAAAACAGATTGACATAGAAAAAAGTGGTGAAAGTTTTAAACTTTTGATATGATGTAGGTCTGGAATATATATATTAATAACAAGTTTTTTATAAGTCTGGATATATATATATAATATTTCTCAATTTTTTTTTTATATCTGAAGGTAGACCTAGATATATATATTAATAGAATTTTTTAATGGTCTATATAAACTTTTTTTTTTTCAAATGTGAGGGTAGGCCTGGGCCTACCCTCCAAGGGGCTGGGTCCGCCCCTAATTGGACACGTGAATTATCTCCATCCTTTCACCAGCCTGACACACACCTACTGTACTGGCAGAAGCACGTCTCAAACGCGCGACGTGACTACACCTGAACGGTACCTAAACTTACCTAAACTCTGAACACTTATACTGATAAAGCTTTATGTCAGCCCTACTTTTCCAAACATTACCAAAATTCTTACAACTTAAACTAACGGGTAAACGACTTTTTCTTATGCAAATAATAGCTGACGACACTTTCCACCCAAAATAATTCAAAATACAATTTTATTAGTCAAATATTATGCTCCATTATTAATTTCCATTAAAGACATATATATTCATTGTATTTGGCTTTTTGTTAGTGAACATCCGTCGGTTTTGAAAACTCTATTTTAACCTTTGTGTGTTTGACTTTTTTTGTAGTAAGCATCCGCTAGTTTGACAATTACACCTAGCTCCCATTTTTTACAAACGGTTAATTATTAAGTTTAAGTTTGAAGAAAATGACATTTTTATCAAAATTTGTCAACAAATGTTGAGGGGTTAATATATTTTTTAAGGTTAAATTGATAAAATTGTTAATAAATTTGAATGTTGAATCGATGACATATTTGAAACCACTAAATACGCACTATAATAAACATCAAACATAAAGGGATTAGCGTCACATTCTCAAGATCAACTAGAGTTGGTACACATTTCTGAAACTAGCATGGGCAGGATTTACTATAAAGAAAACCCTCTCTTAAAGCGGGTGTGTTTGTTTCAGTATTTTTGCACTACCTATCCCTATCCTACAAAAAATACACATTTATTTCCTTGTTCTGAAAATCCTATTCTATTTTATTGAATTATTTTTAAACTCCATAGGTTTGTTAATTTAATTAAACACTTAAAAAAAGATTAAAAATTGACAAAAACACCCCCATCCACCCACATTTGCCAGATTTCGGCTACCACCATCAGAAGTGGCCAAAATCTGGTATAATAGCGCACTACTAGCTAGATCTTACCGGTAGTGCTCCAATCTACAGCCAAAGATATGGTCGTTAACGGCCAGATCTTTGGCCATAGTTGGTTGTCAATGACGACCAAACATGGCCAGATTTGACCGTCAACGACCAGATCTGGCCATAGATCTGACATTTTTCGATCAGATCCATGGTGAATTTGACCGAAAAATGTCATATTGGCGCACGACCAGCTAGATCCAGCCAGTCGTACGAAGATACGGCAACTCCGGTAGTGGTGGCTGACTGCCGGCATTTAATGGGTGGATGGGAGTGTTTTTTGTTAATTTTTAATGTTTTATTACAAAGGTGTTTAGCTTAATTAATAAACCTATAGAGTATTTTTGTTAATTTTTAAATTCTACCTTGTAATAACCACCCAACTCTTAAGTTTGTTTGTTTTATTATTTTAAGTAGTATTTTTGAAAAAGTTAAATTGGGTTATTATTACGAGGTAATATTTGAATTTGAAAATGTGTTTGATAAGATTATTTTTTAATCCCCTATATTTGTTAATTTAGTTAAACATCCCTTACAATAAAAGTTTTAAAACTAATAAAAACACTCTCACCCACCCATTAAATACCGACAACCAATGACAGGTTATCGGGCATATGTGGTTGGATGAGGGTGTTTTTTATTAATTTATAAACTTTTATTATTGAGGTGTTTTAGTTAAATTAACAAATTTAAGGATTTAAAAATAGTTGAATAAAATAAAATAAAATTTTTATAATAGGAAAACAAATATGTATTTTATATAAGATATGGTAGAAAATATAAATAATGCACCAAACATACCTAAAACTTTTTCAAAAATCATATTCAAAATAAAAAAAAACAAACACACCCGGTACCCTAATTTGCATACGCGATATTGGGGTTGATATTTGATGCATGCACACGGTTGTCTTGTCAATTGGAAGAAACGTACAATCATAATCAGCCTTCTCACCGCCCAGCTCATGCTTATTTGTGGTCCAGTTACATAATATATACATATATTCATATCATCACCACCTCCCTCCCCTTTTATTTTTTGTTCCCTTTCCACAATCTAAATCAATCGTACTCCTTCACTGTTTCACATCCTCACCTTTACACCATGTTTAAAAATTTCAGTTCCGTACGCAACTATTGTTTGTACCTCACGCAACTTTGCATTATAACCCAACGATAAAGGTGAATCAGGAAGGTGGTAAATAGATAGAATACACAATCTCATATTCAATTTTCTATTAGGTATAAAGACAATATTTTTATCTATAATTTATCTAAAATGATATGACGATAAATTATTATAAAATAATTTTTTTTAAAGATTACTTGAAATATACATAAATTGAATCGGTCAGTTTTTTTTGTTTTAAAAGCTACACCTATTTACCTTGTGGTAATCCTGAAAAACAAGGAGTACTGCGAAGTTCCCAATTTTGACTATTTGTGTTAATGGGAGTGACTCTTACGGAATCTTCAAGGAAATAGAGGACACGTAATGAAGAGGAGGCGTTGAATGGTTAGAATGATAGATAGATGGTAAAGACGAAAGAGGCCAAAAACATTTTCCAAAAGGTTACGATCCTGAAAGCCACGTTATCATTTTCCAGAAACCACAAGTAGATATGTTGACCCCATTCATATAATATCTCCCGCCAAAATCAATCTCACACTGCAGCCACGTGTATTTCTCTCCAATCTCAACCGTCCACCTTTAACCGCCGTTTTACTCACACATGGCACCCATCTGATGCATCCCTCATCCAACGCCCCAGATCGGTTCTTCCCCTCCTTTTAAATGTATCGATAACTAGTTCAAGCTCAAACGCTTCTTGTAAAATTTCCAAGAACATTAAAAAGAAAAAGAAAATAAATAAAATAATCAAAAAAATGAATGCCAGATTCTAGTTTCTATTCCTATAAAGCAAAGAAACAATGAAGAGGTTGACAGTCCGAGAAATCGATGGCTTCGTTGATTGCTGCATAAACGAGAACCAGAGCGATATAAAACAAAGAACAAGCTGCGAGTCAAGTGCATTAAACAGTAAACGAATGAAAGTCGATAAAGATTCTTCAGATATTTCACTCATCAAATCGCCAACTTCTTCTGAAAACTCTTCTGACCAAGAAGGTACAGCTGTCGGGATAGTAATGGCTGCAGGAGACAGTCCTACGGACGAGGAGGGAGAGGAGGAAAGAGTTAAGATGTTATCTCACGGTTTGATATCGGTGATCGGACAGCGGAGAGCTATGGAGGACGCGGTGACCGTTGCGATCGGTGAGATTAAGGGCTATGATTTTTTCGCTGTGTATGATGGGCACGGTGGGGCCAAGACAGCGAACAAGTGTAGAGAAAGGTTGCATGTGATAATACGGGAAGAGCTGAAGGGGAGAAATATCTGTAAGGGCGGGGGGTTTGAGTACTGGGAGGACCTGATGACGGCGTCTTTTATGAAGATGGATGAGGAAGTGAGTGTCGGTGGTGAGAAGGAAGGACCGGCGGCCGCTGAAATGAGGACTATGGGGTCCACCGCGGTGGTGGTGATGGTGGGAAAGGATGAATTGGTGGTGGCTAACTGTGGGGACTCCAGGGCTGTGTTGTGCCGTGGTGGCGTGGCAGTGCCATTATCCCGTGATCATAAGGTAATGAGTGACATTTGGTCATTATTTTCGTGTCTTTTTCTGAAATTAATTGCGCAATTTCTGAGAGAATAGTCCATGGCTAATTAAGAGTACAAGACAAAGAGATGTAACCCTTATAAAACGCATGATTTGGAAGATTAAGGCAAGCTACCACAGTATGCGTGCTAGCTGATTAATTACAAGTATAATTACATATATTAGTAACTGATAAACACATTTAACCAAACCATCTCATCAAAAAATGGATCCAATAACTTTATGAAATAATTTATTAATTAGATATGTATTTTGTAAGGAAGAGCTAACTAATGTGAAGTAACAACTTTGTTGTACAGCCCGACAGGCCTGATGAGACGGAAAGGGTGGAAGCCGCCGGAGGTAGGATCATAAATTGGAATGGTAGCCGCGTTCTAGGAGTTCTTGCTACTTCAAGGTCAATAGGTATATCTCAACATTGCCTCTGTTAATTATTTGTATAATTTTCATTGTTGTTGAATTTAGCTTAGTAATAATATTTATCCTAGAATGGTAAAGATTAGTATTTCTCCTGCTTGATGTTTGTTGTATGTAGCGGCTGACAGATTACTCTTTCTGTCGATCTATATTTTCAATTGGCTGCATCCAGAGTTTATTTCTTCTGAAACCATTTCTAACCTTATTGATCTTTTTTTTCTGCCGCATCCAACTTATAGAACTACCAACTATAGTAGAGTTGATTAAGCAATATACATGTTTATTCAAGTTTTGAGCTTCTCCAGCATATTTTTCTGAAGATAATATTTTTCATATGATGCATAATGCAGGAGATGAGTATATGAAGCCATATGTGATCTCTGAGCCTGAGGTCACTGTGAATGAGCGAATGGAGTCAGACGACTTCCTCATAATAGCATCTGATGGATTATGGGATGTTGTGACTAATGAATTTGCCTGTGAAGTTGTAAGAAGATGTCTTAACGGCCAATTAAGGGTGAGGTTTTCAGAGGATTGTATTGGAACTTCTGCTGCAGAGGCATCAACATTTTTGGCCGAGCTGGCTATGGCTCGAGGCAGCAAAGACAATATCAGTGTCATAGTAGTTGTGCTCAAAAGCTCGAGCTAAGTTCTTTGTCCTTTGCTTTGATGTTGTATTGTTAAAAGGGTTGCTGGATAATTGTACAGATAACTTAAAATCATCTTGAAAAGTTTGTTTATTCGTTTTTGTATTATTTTGCTCTCACTAAAATCCTAAAAAGATATGTGCTAATCAAGAATCATCGAGTTATCATGATGCTCAGTTTAGCAAATCCACCATGAAAATAATTCTGAGACGAAATGATCCCATGCTGGTAATACTTTCAGTGTACACAAATACACCCTCTTTAGTGAAGACAACATACAAGAACCCATTAGTGAAGACAACATACAAGAACCCATTAGTGAATTGTGGATAGTTTCAATTCTTATTCTCAAATACTGTTGTGATCAGGTCTATCTTCTCTCTCTGTTTTACACTTAGCAATTTATCTTCTTCTTGGGGGAAGCTTAAGATTTCATAGTTAAGACATAACTCAAGATGAATGAGGAAAACATTGAAGAAATATCAGTGAATATGGACAAGAAGGAAATATCATTGACAACTTATATTCATATTGGAAACATAAAAGGTTGAAAAAGTGCTTACAACTCACAAAACCCAAAAGGACATCCAAGGCTTTCTTGGAAGGACAAAGAAAGAAAAGACTGCTTTCAATATATATTGAGAAGCCATTTTGCTTCACTTCTTAACACTCACTCTTTACCTGTCTCTCTCAAATCTATCTATATAAACTAAGGAAGTAGAGGAGAAAGAGGATGAGCACTCATATTAAATCGTCTCTTCGCTCCTTTCATCCTCGAACCTTCAATCTTATTATACCCAATATGATCTATTATCCTAATCAGATACCAAATCAACGAGTAAAGTTGAAAATCCCTCCACCAAAGAAAAGGAAAGCAAAAAGAAAACCTTTTCTGGACTGCATTCTGTATAAACTGCACAATTCTTTCATCACACCCCCAGAAACTTTGAGAACCTTTTTGTAATTGATTTTGTTAAACTTTCTTATGCCAAATTGTAGCTTGAAACTGAGACAGCAGCCGGATCAGTGGAATGAATGTAGACAAACTCCATACTTTTTCCAGCAGGCAAGGAGTTAAGCCATGATGGAAAACCATAAACATTGCCCACCTTTGTTAGACCCCACAGAGGACCATAAAGCTTGGAAATTGAGAGCTTGAGATCCTTCAGGGTCTTGCCTGACTTGTTGGTAACTACAGTGGAGTATCTGTAGTATTTTTGTCCCTTGGCATCCCATGAAGTTGTAATCTTCTGCTCAATGGCAATTGGACCAGATGATGAAGCTGCAAAAATAGCTATTGGTTAGATTTGATCATTTAACACTACAGTATTCAAACAAATACGAAGAACAGTTAGAAAAACAGCGTAATAAAGTGAAATAATACCTGGAGCAGGAGTTGTTTTAGGTTGTGGTGCTGGAGTTGGTTTTCTGACAACGGGATTAGGAGCTGGAACATTCTCTGCAGTGAAGAGATAAGTCCAACGTTAACAATCGATATAATTTGACTAGGAGATGCTTATGACACATCTCCATAGGATTAGCAAAGGAAAAAGTCTATCTAAATGGTTTATAAAGGCTATTTCTGGTACCTGGAAGAAGCTGGTTATATCCCCCGTGACCACCATTTAGCCTTGCCAATATACCAAGGAGAGGAGCATTGTTGTAAGTAGCAGGCTCAGTTTGCTCATAATTATCTCTCTCATCAGCAAAGTTGTCATAGGCATCAGGTCCCCCAACAATAGCTCCGACAAGGAGATTGGGATCACTGGCTTTCCTGCTAAACCAAGTGGCATAACCACCACGGCAGCTGACAAATGAGGGATTAACCTTGAAGGAAACAATGGAGGAAGCCCTGTGGTGAACTTGTCGTGGGTAGTTGTTTCCATAGCCAACCATGTAACTTGTGGCTCTTGGGTTGTCTCCAAGAATGTAATCTACCTGAAAGTTTTAAGTAGCAAAAAGCCAAATAAGTTATTAGTCACTGAAATATACAAATATTACATGTCAATAACTGATCAAAACACAAGCAAATCACCTGAGACTTCGCGAGGCCTAGAAGTTGAGATGGTGCAACATTGCCTGAAGAACATCTTAAGTTTCTTCCAGAGGAAGCAAGATAGTCAGAGTACACGGTAGCAAGGAAAGAAGCACTGGTCACAAACTGCATGTTGTTCCACCTCTGGCGGAAAATCAGGCCACCAGGAGTCTTCTGAACATTCCGAGAGCCCTTTCCAAGGCATGAGCACATGAAGTACTCTGCCTTCTGTTGGTACCTCTCAAAAACTGCGGCATGATGACCAGCTTTGCCTTGCATTAAGAACTGCAAAAACAATACATACACCAATGTCACTTAACTAGAAAAACAACGAATTTTCGAATATTACATAGTTTAAAATCAGTTTTAATAGATTAATACCTTGGCAACGAGAGTTTGAACTCCAGCATACTTAACATCCCAACCAAACTCAGTCATGCCCCAGCCAGTTCCGCCCATGGCGTCACCATTTCTGCCAAGGTAATCCAAGTAGTACTGGTTGCCACTTGCTTGGTACAACCATGCAGCCGCCCAGAGCAATTCATCCTATACATAAACAAAATTAATAAAATCAGTATCACATTAATTTTATTGTTTAAAGAGTGAATTATGCCATTAATATTCGCTGCTAATTCGCATACATTGTAGCCGCTGACTGAACGATAGTATTTTTGGGCCACTGTAATGCTGCCGTCATACTTTCCTCTGTATTTGTCCGCAAAATCAAAGAGCTGAAATCAAAAGCTAAACACCGTCAGTGGTAGTTCATGTAATAAATCTAGAGTAAAAGGGTACTTTTGGAATCCGAGTTTTGATTAGAAACAGAACAAGGTGGGATGTTTGGTCGTGGCCTAGCACCGACAGGGTTGGCACGTGAAAAATGAATAACCAATGGGCTGCTTATGGATAGCTGAAATTGACGGTTAAGATCTGATTGTACGTTAGATCTGTACGATCATAACACTCTGCCCGTGATAGACGGGTAAAGTGCACTCACGATCCAACTATTGCACCGATGAATTTTTACCCGGATTTAATTTTCAATTTCACTAAAATGATAAATATTTAATCAAATATTAATTTATAATAAATTAATTATCTGTGGCGTGATATGCCCTCTACAATGAACACTTTAAAGTAACTCTATTTAACCATCAATGAAGCTACCTTGGGTCTGACATGCTGCACCGACCCGCCTGACCAAAAAGGTAGCTATTGTAACTGCCTATTAACTATGGCCGTTTTGCTATCTTGCGCATCATTAACAACAGTTTTTACTAAAATATACCGTCATAAAAGTGGTCCATACCCCGTTCGAAAGCGCTTTTTGCTTTTGTTTTTGTGTTTTTTACTCGGAAAAATTGTAACCATTCAAACTTTTTACCCAACAAATAAAAGTGTATATGAGTTGTAAAAAGAATGAAATGATACCTGGTAGGCGTGGCGGAGAAGCTCACTGGAATAAGCAGGGTTAGAATGGCGGAAAACCATGGAGGCGGCAGCCATGGCAGCAGCTGTTTCACCGGCAAGATCCGACCCGGGGTTACTTGGGTCAACCTTGTAGGCCCGCCTATCAGTGGTCATGTCCTCGGGCCTTTGCCAACAGTAGTGGTCAGTGTTTCCATCTCCTACCTAATTAAACATAAGTAAGTTAACATAAAAATTAATAATAATAATAAATCATATTAAATTTAATCACAAATATCATTCCATAATTCCATTTTTTTGTAGAAATAATATTATATTAAAAACAAACTAATAAGTCAAAACTCAAAACAAAAACAGGGGAAGTAATAGGGGGAAAAGAAAAGCAGTTGAAAGAGAATAAATGAAGGAAAAAAGTGAAAAGAAAGGTTTGAATAGCTTGAAAGGCACCTCTCCATAGAGAACATTAGGTTCGGGATGGGCTTTAATGAGGTAATCAGTTCCCCACTTAATAGCATCCATGGCATGGCCAAGTTCACCAGTGGAAGCCATTTGTTTACCATATTCAACGATGCTCCATGACATCATAGTTATTGTGAATGCCATTGGCAAACCAAACTTCACATTATCACCTGCATCATAGTAACCTCCAACAAGATCCACCTAAACATTTTAAAAAGAAAAGTTAACAAGTTAATAACGTAAGTTACAGCTAAATGGGTCAAGTGTGTGTGAAATAACAGAACTTACCCCACTGGCTTTGCCATCGTTAAGACCAGAGTTGCCTCTCCAATTGACTCTTTGGGTGTGGGGGAGGTAGCCAGATCTTTGAGCTTCAAAGAACAGAATGCTCTTAGTCAAAGCTTGGCCATAGTCATGGCCAGCAAAAGCGAGAGGAAGAAGACAAAGAAGCAGAAGCAGAGGCTTCATTGAAGTGAGTTTCACAAACTTCTCCATGTTAATAAGAAGAGTACTCTGGTTTTCTTTTCAGTGTATTAACAAACAAAATAAAGACTGAAAGAGTGATCTGTTTTTGCTGTGTAAGTGTATACTTCTAAATGGGATTCCTTTTACACTCTCTAAAACGCTATAGAGAAACCCATTAAGTGAGACAAATTCACAATGTTGGTATAATTTATCAGTTTACACTTCTGATAAACCTACCGGAAACAGATACAGCTCTTAAATGAGAGAAAAAGAACTAGAAGAGAGAGAGAGAGGGAGAGAGTTGTGGGCTTGGGAATGGGGAGAGGAGCACGAGTCTCTATATATTGAGGAGGAAAGGAAGGTCCAAGCGGCCAAAAATTGGCAGGGCCTAATAAATGAAAGTTTTATTTATTATTTCTATTATTGATTATTCTTTTATTTTTATAATATTTTCACATTTGGAATATTGAAAACGGTTTAGCAAAAGAACAGAATCATGTGGGTGTCCCGGGCTCTTTACTGGAAGGGTCGGTGCGGATTTAATGTATTTGAGGAAAATAAATTACGGTAATCCCAATATGGCTCAAAAGGTTAGTAATATAAAAGAAAAATTAATTTTATATTATTTTAATTTACAACTTAAAAATGAAAACAGAAACAGTGAAACACTGTCACTGTGGATTGAGAATTACCAAACCCAGAAAGAGGAAAATGAAGGGCA